TGAGGTTGATAGTTTTAATTTATTGTGTGATTAATTGATTTATCGTTTATCGCGACAGGCCTATATCGGAAATACTTCTACGGCTTTTCACCAGTGTGAATCCTTATGTGCTTAGTTAAATGCTCTTTTTGACTAAAACTTTTTCCACAGTTTCCACATGAAAACGGCTTTTCACCAGTGTGAATCCTTATGTGTCGAGTTAAATTCTGTTTTTCACTAAAACTTTTTCCACAGTTCACACATGAAAAACGTTTTTCATTGGTGTGAATTCTCATGTGCAGAGTTAAACAATGTTTATGACTAAAACGTTTTCCACAGTTCACACATGAAAAAGGTTTTTCATTAGTGTAAATCCTCATGTGCCGAGTTAAACAAAGTTTTCGACTAAAACTTTTTCCACAGTTCCCACATGAAAACGGCTTTTCACCAGTGTGAATCCTCATGTGCTTAGTTAAATTATGTTTTTGACTAAAACATTTTCCACAGTCCACACATGAAAACGGCTTTTCACCAGTGTGAATCCTCATGTGCTCAGATAAATTCTGTTTATGACTAAAACTTTTTCCACAGTTCACACATGAAAACGGCTTTTCACCAGTGTGAATCATCATGTGCCGAGTTAAACACAGTTTATGACTAAAACTTTTTCCACAGTTCACACATGAAAACGGCTTTTCACCAGTGTGAATCATCATGTGCCGAGTTAAACACAGTTTATGACTAAAACTTTTCCCACAGTCCACACATGAAAACGGCTTTTCACCAGTGTGAATCATCATGTGCAGAGTTAAATTCTGTTTACGACTAAAAAACTTTTTCCACAGTTCACACATGAAAAAGGCTTTTCACCCGTGTGAGTTCTCATGTGAGCATCAAAAACAGATTTGAAAGTAAAATACTTTTTACAAATGACACATGAAAAAGGTTTCCTTCTTTCCTGATTTTTGTTCTCAGTTTCATCAGGATTTGTTAAGATGTCTTGGTTCCCATTTGGTTCTGATTCAGTTTGGTATGTTTGCTCATCAACAGGAACCACCATGCAGGTATCAGTCTCCTGTTTTAATTCAATCAGTTCTTCACTATGACTGCAGTAAACTTCTTTCTCTTCCTCTTTTATCTGCAGGTGTTCTAGATCCTCCTGTTCTTCTTTTATCTGATGATTTTCTGGTTCTTCTTGTTCTTGTTTCACCTGCAGAGGTTCAAACTCCTCCTGGTCCAGAGTGGATCTCCTCTCCTGGTTATAAACGTTACATTGCAGGCAATCTGCAGAAGAAAACAGACAAAAAGAGTAATTCTTAACTTTACTGAATTAAATAGGAGAATTCATTCAACATTTAAAACAGTTCCTTTGTTACTTGCTTTTCTAAGTTAGACAGGAAGAACTGTGGGTCCATTTCCTGTAAGTATGGGGACTGGTAAAGGACCAGCATGCACTGGTTGGGCCTGTGGTTTGACCAGAGCAGGAGAAGAAACAATGAAAAGTAGTGATGGTGAGATGAAGCTTCATGAAGCTCTGAGGAACTCCATCCCATCATGGACTCATGAGCCGATGCACCGCGGTGCTTCATATGCTCCACTGTGACATCAAGTGGACAATATATGTAAAATAGGCACGTGAAAACAACACGAAGCCTTACAATGAGTAAACAAGTAAAAGATGTTTGTGATTCTGATTAATCTGTTTGTATGAAACCATGGCTGCATCATAAAGGAAACTAGAAACAAATAGAAAACAGAGAGTTGTGATTGGCTTGTTATTCGCTGTTTCACCAGGGGCAACGATTTATTACTAAAAATAAAACTTTGACTGTATTCTGGTTTAGGTGAATTCTCTGTTTTATGTGCTTCATTAAAATCCTCCTGGATTACTCGACACATCACTAATGAAAAGTTATTTTTATTATTTGCTTCTTAAACTAGAAAAATAAACTATAAAAGGAATCTTAAAGTTTTTGAACATTGAACTTCTTTTATCTACGTATGAAGCAAACAATCGCCACAACAATTTATTTATTACAAATTATTACATTTTACAGCTTCTAACACCGCTATTATTAGTTTATGCTGCTTTCTTAACTAACCTCGCGCTGCATTGTTCACATTTCTCCCGTTTTCAAAAGAAAGACTCAGTAGTTAAAGGAGGAAGAGCCATAAAAAGGTCATTTTCTCTCCATAAATCAGCCATTCTCATTGTGATGTCTGCGTTCATTTACCTGCTAACAAAACATTTATCCGGGAAAAGAGCGTTTACTAAAATGATCCTCATGCAGAAAGGTGCAGACATTTAGACCTTAACCTGCATCCAAACGCTGCTGTTTCCTACCTATTTGGTGTAAGATGATCTGGGGAGTCCGGGAGAAATCAAGCAGTCTGCGCTGATCATCCATCTCTTCCTCCGACTGGACGATGATTTCTTTAAACTCTGTCAATGTTCCTGCAGTTCACTGCTCGCCGATTCACTCGTTTAAGCTGGACTGAAGATATTTATTAGAGAAACACTCAAACATTCAACAACACAGACCACGTGCCGTCCTCTTAGTCTTCTTCTACTTCTTTTTCTTCTACTACTACTTTTTCTTCTTCTTCGGGGTTTTAAGACTGTCGTTCATTCATGTCATCGCATTACCGCCACCTTGTGGATCCTACGATCATTACAGCTACAGATTTCTCATAAAGTGCCAGTTCTCTTTGCAGAACCTAAAATCTTTTCCTAGTAACAGAATAAGCTGCAGCAGAAAAGAGAAAAATACAACTAAGACAAAAGAAACACTAAATTATTGAAGACAATAATAATCAACCAAACTACAGAGACAACATGGATGTTTTTATACAATGATAAGGAAGGAAAAACAAGGGCAAGACGGTCTGGTTCTTATGCAGCTGTGGAAAACAACCTTCCAGCCTTGTACAAGTAACCCAAATAGTTCTTTACAAGAAATTCAATTCTTTTGGTCAGAGTTCACAAACATTTCACATGACATGACTAGCAGATGTGACCTTACTGTAATTTTTCCATTACAACTCGTTAAAGCTGGACTGGAGATATTTATTAGAGAAACTCAAACATTCACAAAACAGAACATCCGCCATCTCATTGTTCTTCCTCCTATTCTTCTTCTTGGAGTCTTTATGACAGTCGACATTCACATTGTTTATTCTGGATAATTTGAGCAAATAGGGTGAAATATCATTCACCTAGCACTCGAAAAGTGAGACAAAGATGGGCAACCGCCGGTCAGAGATTCGGTTGTTTTCCGAGTTTTCAAATCAGTTTCAATCTCATTTTACTTTAAAGGCAAAACTATCACTAATACTTTTCTGCTAATTTTTTTTTTAACAAACTCAATCATCATATACATTCTATTGTCGAGTTAAAAAAATAATGATAATAATCCCCACAAACTTTCTCTATTGTACAGAATAATACAAATCAATCCCTCAAGTCCAAACAAGTGGGAATGTTCTGGAAGGGAGTCAAACTGATAATGCATGAAATTAGTCACAATGGTCCACAATGTCTCTTCATCTATCAGCATCAGTACTGGCTCTCCTCAGGGCTCTGAGCTGAGCCCTCTGCTCTTCACATTGCACACACTACATACAGTTTGACATAAACAGCATGTTAATACAATAACATACAGTTTATCATAATTCTTTTTTGATAGAGAATATGCCAAAAACTACAACAGATCTCGGAAGGAAAATGTCATGGCTGCACATCTCCAAGTATCTAAAGGTGAAGATCCAAATGATCCCATTTAACAAATACAACAATTTTCAGCTCTATAGACATGAAATCCCTCCAGTCTTTCATTCCAATTTTTAACAAAATCAATTCTTTCGTGAACCTCAACATAGAATATGTTTGGAAATTAGGCCTGTCACGATAACAGATTTTGCTGGGCGATTAATTGTTTCAAAAAATTTGTGCAATAAACGATAATATTATTTGAAGACCTTTATACACTGATTTAATGGAAATTACGTAATAATACATGCGGTTTCCTGCCAAAGATAGAAACACTTTACTTTCAAAAGGACACTTAACACTGGGACTGATACACAAATAAATAAAACCAAAACCAAAAATAAAATAGATTCTCAGTCTCCATTAACAATAAATGTACTTGAATAAAAACTAAACAACATAAAGCCAAAGTGGAAATAAACACTGCATTCAACCAAAAGAGTGCAGATTATGATGTCAGTATTGTATATTGGCCTTCAGTAATAATTAGATTTAAATAGAGAAGAATCCGACTTCCTGATGCAATAGTTTAAAATACAGGATTTTTTACCCCGATGACAATCTTAGAACGATATTCGTTCAGAGATTGTGACTTGTGTGTTACGGAAGATCGTTGTGGCCGCTCCGATCTAAATCAAGGATTTACCCAGACTGGGAGAGTGACGCAGCCTGTTGACTGTGACCGGTAGCCAATCAGAAAGCGCGGATTCTCCTCGTGCTTTCTGAGGGAAACACGGAGGGAATCCCGAACAGCTGACACGATGCAACCCGAAGTCCAGCGGACATCGGAAACAACATGAATGTTTATTCAACAGTTCGTGCAAAAAAAAAAAAAAACATAAATAACTAGGGGAGAAGTTAAATTTCTACCAGAAAACCCCGTAACTTTTCAGCTGTTCTTCGTTAACGTGACATAAATAGGTTATAATGATTTTCATTTAGTCAGGACTGACACAAGCCACATGCATTGCAGATAGATTGTAGTGAGGAATTGATTAATGCCTGGTTTCAAAGTTAGTGAACTGGACTTATTATTTTGTGCCCATTGTTGGACACAACATGGTTCGATGAACCTTTATATCTAGGATTTCTGTCGGCTAATGTGTCTCTGAGGTTTTGATAAAGAGTCAACAATTCGCGACATAATGTGTGCTGGGCATTACACTAAGGAAGTAAGGAAGGGAGGGTGTTAGCAGAATCAGTTTTCGGCACAGCGTTCAGCGTGACATCAAGAAACTCGCACCGGTTTGGCTTTCGTGTTGTTCTCCCTTTGTTTGGAGGACACACCCTTTTATTGTACAGAAGTGTGTTCAATTAGACAGGTCACGTGATGTGACACACAATAATCCAATAATGAGAAAAAAACAACAACAACAACAAATGAGAGCACAAAAACATTCATAATGTCAACAGAGGGTCAGTGGAGTGGAGCCATTTTTCATTCAGTGTAAGAGAACCAACAGTAAGGTAAAAAGGCAGGAAGAAATGATATAGACGATAATTGAAATGAGGTTGATAGTTTAATTTATTGTGTGATCAATTGATTTATCGTTTATCGCGACAGGCCTATATCGGAAATACTTCTACGGCTTTTCACCAGTGTGAATCCTCATGTGCTTAGTTAAATGGTGTTTATGAGTAAAACGTTTTCCACAGTTCACACATAAAAACGGCTTTTCACCAGTGTGAATCCTCATGTGCTTAGTTAAATTATGTTTATGACTAAAACTTTTTCCACAGTTCACACATGAAAACGGCTTTTCACCAGTGTGAATCCTCATGTGCTGAGTTAAACAAAGTTTATGTCTAAAACTTTTTCCACAGGTCACACATGAAAACGGCTTTTCACCAGTGTGAATCCTCATGTGCTGAGTTAATGCCTTTTTTGACTAAAACTTTTTCCACAGTTCACACATGAAAACGGCTTTTCACCAGTGTGAATCCTCATGTGCCGAGTTAAATCCTGTTTTTGACGAAAACTTTTTCCACAGTTCACACATGAAAACGGCTTTTCACCAGTGTGAATCCTCATGTGCTCAGATAAATTCTGTTTATGACTAAAACTTTTTCCACAGTTCACACATGAAAACGGCTTTTCACCAGTGTGAATCCTCATGTGCAGAGTTAAATTCTGTTTACGACTAAAACTTTTTCCACAGTTCACACATGAAAACGGCTTTTCACCCGTGTGAGTTCATGTGAGCATCAAAAACAGATTTGAAAGTCAAATGCTTTTTACAGATGACACATGAAAAAGGTTTCCTTCTTTCCTGATTTTGGTTCTCAGTTTCATCAGGCTTTTTTAAGATGTCTTGGTTCCTGTTTAGTTCTGTTTCAGTTTGGTATGTTTGCTCATCAACAGGAACCACCATGCAGGTATCAGTCTCCTGTTTTAATGCAATCAGCTCTTCACCCTGACTGCAGTAAACTTCTTTCTCTTCCACTTTTATCTGCAGGTGTTCTAGATCCTCCTGTTCTTCTTTTATCTGATGATCTTCTGGCTCTTCTTGTTCTTGTTTCACCTGCAGAGGTTCAAACTCCTCCTGGTCCAGAGTGGATCTCCTCTCCTGGTTATAAACGTTACATTGCAGGCAATCTGCAGAAGAAAAAGGACAAAAAGAGTAATTCTTAACTTTACTGAATTAAATAGGAGAATTCATTCAACATTAAAACAGTTCCTTTGTTACTTGCTTTTCTAAGTTAGACAGGAAGAACTGTGGGTCCATTTCCTGTAAGTATGGGGACTGGTAAAGGACCAGCATGCACTGGTTGGGCCTGTGGGTTTTGACCAGAGCAGGAGAAGAAACAATGAAAAGTAGTGATGGTGAGATGAAGCTTCATGAAGCTCTGAGGAACTCCATCCCATCATGGACTCATGAGCCGATGCACCGCGGTGCTTCATATGCTCCACTGTGACATCAAGTGGACAATATATGTAAAATAGGCAATGTGAAAACAACACGAAGCCTTACAATAAATAAACAAGTAAAAGATGTTTGTGATTCTGATTAATCTGTTTGTATGAAACAATGGCTGCATCAAAAAGGAAACTAGAAACAAATAGAAAACAGAGAGTTGTGATTGGCTTGTTATTCGCTGTTTCACCAGGAGCAACGATTTATTACTAAAAATAAAAACTTTAACTGTATTCTGGTTTAGGTGAATTCTCTGTTTTATGTGCTTCATTAAAATCCTCCTGAATTACTCGACACATCACTAATGAAAAGTTTATTTTTATTATTTGCTTGTTAAACTGGAGAAATAAACTATAAAAGGAATCTTCAAGTTTTTGGACATTGAACTTCTTTTATCTACGTATGAAGCATCACCTCAGTGCAGCTTGTTGATTGAACTTTTATAGGATGTTTGGTTTGACAATTTATTTATTACAAATTATTACATTTTACAGCTTCTAAACACCGCTATTATTAGTTTATGCTGCTTTCTTTACTAACCTCGCGCTGCATTGTTCACATTTCTCCCGTTTTCAAAAGTAAGACTCAGTAGTTAAAGGAGGAAGAGCCATAAAAAGGTCATTTTCTCTCCATAAATCAGCCATTCTCATTGTGATGTCTGCGTTCATTTACCTGCTAACAAAACATTTATCCGGGAAAAGAGCGTTTACTAAAATGATCCTCATGCAGAAAGATGCAGACATTTAGACCTTAACCTGCATCCAAACGCTGCTGTTTCCTACCTATTCGGTGTAAGATGATCTGGGGAGTCCGGGAGAAATCAAGCAGTCTGCGCTGATCATCCATCTCTTCCTCCGACTGGACGATGATTTCTTTAAACTCTGTCAATGTTTCTGCAGTTCACTGCTCGCTGATTCACTGGTTTAAGCTGGACTGGAGATATTTATTAGAGAAACACTCAAACATTCAACAACACAGACCATGTGCTGTCCTCTTAGTCTTCTTCTACTTCTTTTTCTTCTACTACCACTTTTCTTCTTCTTCGGGGTTTTAAGACTGTCGTTCATTCATGTCATCGCATTACCGCCACCTTGTGGATCCTACGATCATTACAGCTACAGATTTCTCATAAAGTGCCAGTTCTCTTTGCAGAACCTAAAATCTTTTCCTAGTAACAGAATAAGCTGCAGCAGAAAAGAGAAAAATACAACTAAGACAAAAAAAAAAACACTAAATTATTGAAGACAATAATAATCAACCAAACTACAGAGACAACATGCAAGTTTTATACAATGATAAGGAAGGAAAAACAAGGGCAAGACGGTCTGGTTCTTATGCAGCTGTGGAAAACAACCTTCCAGCCTTGTACAAGTAACCCAAATAGTTCTTTACAAGAAATTCAATTCTTTTGGTCAGAGTTCACAAACATTTCACATGACATGACTAGGAGATGTGACCTTACTGTAATTTTTCCATGACAACTCGTTAAAGCTAGACTGGAGATATTTATTAGAGAAACTCAAACATTCAACAAAACAGAACATCCGCCATCTCATTGTTCTTCCTCCTATTCTTCTTCTTGGAGACTTTATGACAGTCGACATTCACATTGTTTATTCTGGATAATTTGAGCAAATAGGGTGAAATATCATTCACCTAGCACTCGAAAAGTGAGACAAAGATGGGCAACCGCCGGTCAGAGATTCGGTTGTTTTCCGACTTTTTAAATCAGTTTCAATCTCATTTTGCTTTAAAGGCAAAAACTATCACTAATACTTTTCTGCTAATTTTTTTTTTAACAAACTCAATCATCATATACATTCTATTGTCGAGTTAAAAAATAATAATGATAATAATCCCACAAACTTTCTCTATTGTACAGAATAATACAAATCAATCCCTCAAGTCCAATCAAGTGGGAATGTTCTGGAAGGGAGTCAAACTGATAATGCATGAAATTAGTCACAATGGACCACAATGTCTCTTCATCTATCAGCATCAGTACTGGCTCTCCTCAGGGCTCTGAGCTGAGCCCTCTGCTCTTCACATTGCACACACTACATACAGTTTGACATAAACAGCATGTTAATACAATAACATACAGTTTATCATAATTCTTTTTTGATAGAGAATATGCCAAAAACTACAACAGATCTCGGAAGGAAAATGTCATGGCTGCACATCTCCAAGTATCTAAAGGTGAAGATCCAAATGATCCCATTTAACAAATACAACAATTTTCAGCTCTATATACATGAAATCCCTCCAGTCTTTCATTCCAATTTTTAACAAAATCAATTCTTTCGTGAACCTCAACATAGGATATGTTTGGAAATTAGGCCTGTCACGATAACAGATTTTGCTGGGCGATTAATTGTCTCAAAAAATTTGTGCAATAAACGATAATATTATTTGAAGACCTTTATACACTGATTTAATGGAAATTACGTAATAATACATGGGGTTTCCTGCCAAAGATAGAAACACTTTACTTTCAAAAGGACACTTAACACTGGGACTGATACACAAAATAAATAAAACCAAAACCAAAAATAAAATAGATTCTCAGTCTCCATTAACAATAAATGTACTTGAATAAAAACTAAACAACATAAAGCCAAAGTGGAAATAAACACTGCATTCAACCAAAAGTGCAGATTATGATGTCAGTATTGTATATTGGCCTCAGTAATAATTAGATTTAAATAGAGAAGAATCCGACTTCCTGATGCAATAGTTTAAAATACAGGATTTTTTTTACCCCGATGACAATCTTAGAACGATATTCGTTCAGAGATTGTGACTTGTGTGTTACGGAAGATCGTTGTGGCCGCTCCGATCTAAATCAAGGATTTACACAGACTGGGAGAGTGACGCAGCCTGTTGACTGTGACCGGTAGCCAATCAGAAAGCGCGGATTCTCCTCGTGCTTTCTGAGGGAAACACGGAGGGAATCCCGAACAGCTGACACGATGCAACCCGAAGTCCAGCGGACATCGGAAACAACATGAATGTTTATTCAACAGTTCGTGCAAAAAAAAAACATAAATAACTAGGGGAGAAGTTAAATTTCTACCAGAAAACCCCGTAACTTTTCAGCTGTTCTTCGTTAACGTGACATAAATAGGTTATAATGATTTTCATTTAGTCAGGACTGACACAAGCCACATGCATTGCAGATAGATTGTAGTGAGGAATTGATTAATGCCTGGTTTCAAAGTTAGTGAACTGGACTTATTATTTTGTGCCCATTGTTGGACACAACACGGTTCGATCAAACCTTTATATCTAGGATTTCTGTCGGCTAATGTGTCTCTGAGGTTTTGATAAAGAGTCAACAATTCGCGACATAATGTGTGCTGGGCATTACACTAAGGAAGTAAGGAAGGGAGGGTGTTAGCAGAATCAGTTTTCGGCACAGCGTTCAGCGTGACATCAAGAAACTCGCACCGGTTTGGCTTTCGTGTTGTTCTCCCTTTGTTTGGAGGACACACCCTTTTATTGTACACAAGTGTGTTCAATTAGACAGGTCACGTGATGTGACACACAATAATCCAATAATGAGAAAAAAAAACAACAACAACAACAACAAATGAGAGCACAAAAACATTCATAATGTCAACAACCCCACTTGCTCACATTTGGGTAGCTTCCTCTGACTTAATATTTCAACCAAAATACATTCATGATTCGCCAAACATAAACATTTCATACTTCCTCAACTTAATCTTTGTTGCTGGTTTAGTTAGTACATCTGCAACCATTTCATTAGTTGGATAGTACTCTAGAAATACTTTTCCTTCATTTACAACTGTTCTGACAAAATGATATTTAGTATCAATATGTTTACATCTTTGTCTATTCACAGGATTTTTGGCTAAGGATATGGTACCCTGATTGTCCTCATAAATCTTAGCTAAATAATCCAGACCATCCATGTTGAACAACAGTTGTTTCAAGTATAAGCATTCCTGTATAGTAGCAGCTAGTGCCATGTACTCTGCTTCACATGTAGATAGAGCTACTGTAGGCTGTCTTTTGGTCTTCCATGAGACTAACGGACCATCTTTATTTAGATCATACAGTAACCTGTTGTACTCCTTCGATCGGATACGTCACCTGCCCAATCAGCATCACTGTATGCATATATAAGGTTATCACAGGCACCCCTTTTAAAACATAGTTCTTTATCTTGTGTGCCTCTTAGATACCTAAAAACATGCTTTACAGTATTCCACTGCTCTGTGGTTGGGTTTGCAAAGTATTGTGCCAGTTTACT